TGAGTTCAGAGGATTCCAGAAGGCAATCTGTAATTCTGATACTAGTTGATCTGGCTGATAGCATCAGAATTACTTTGTCTCTATTTCTTGCTTGCAAAATCAGACTATTTGGAAATAAAACTAAGGAAGTACTATTATTATTTTTTTTTTAAAAAAAGCTCTTTGTGGTCCACAGCGATAGTACAGTGGGTAGGGAGTTTGCCTTACACCGGCACACTTGAGTTCCTTCCCCGGCATCCCAGATGGTCTCCCCAAGCACTTCCGGGATCAATTGCTGAGTGCAGAGGCAGAAGTAACCCCTGAGCATCACTGGATGTGACCCAAAAAAGAAAATAAAGGGAAAAAAAAGTTCTTTGTGATTCTAGGCAGTTAACTGTGGGTCATTGAATATAAGAAATATCAGGGAAAAGAAAGTAATTTCACTGGAATTTGGTTCTGAGGAAAGATGTGAACTTCCTTATTTCCATATTAATCATAAAAGATGAATTTAGTAAAATTTATAAGAAGAAATAAATACGCAGGGTTCTTTTTTTTTTTTTTTGGGAGGAGGCACATTCAGCAGTTACTCCGTAGCTCTGCACTCAGGAATCATCCCTGGCAGGCTTGGGGCACTATATGGGTTGCTGGGATAAACTTGGGTTAGCTGCATGCTAGTTTTTGCCTGCTGTACTATCACTCCATCTCTAATAAGTTTAATTATATTAATTTTCTTTCAATTCATGTTCATGTAACTTGAATATTAAACTTCTGGAATTTTTCTACTGCAAACAAGATTTCTAAATCAATCCCCTTCTCCTCATCCCACCCCCACACAAAGAAAAATCTGAGAACATGTGGGAGTTATTGTAAATATTTTTTATGTACGGTTCTAGGAATTTAATTCAGATTTTATACATCCAAAGCATATACTCCACCAACTGAATATCATCCCAGTTCCCTTGTTAAACATTTTTTCCTGACACAAACTCTTTAGTGAAAAATTTCTAGCTTTTGCTTAATTTATTATACTGTGAAGCGTTTGTTTTTGTTAAAAAAAAAACTGTCAGCAAGAGTGATAGTAGAGTGGGTAGGGTCTTGCCTTTCAGTCCTGAGCATTGCTGGGTGAGACCCAAAAAGCAGACAATAAACAGAGAAATTAAAAAATTTAATTTTTTGTCATAGAATGTCATAGAAAAGTACTGAAAAAAGGAGCCTAATGAAGAAGTAGACAAACATCTGACATGTGAATTATCATCTATGTAAAAACAAAACAAACAACAAACAAACAAACAAATAAAACCAGTGGATCTTTTTTCCTACCAGCCAACATGCCATCCCCACTAAGGAAAACCCGAAAACTTAAGAAGCCACGTGAGCCATGACCACGGCTGCATCACCAAACACCGGAAGCACCCAGGAGGTTGGGGTAATGTTGCTGGTGTATTCATCAGCACAAAATCCACTTTGTCAAACATCATCCAGATTACTTTGGGGAAGTGGGCATGTGGCATTATCACTTAAAGAGAAACCAAAGCTTCCGCCCAACTGTCAATCTAGACAAACAGTGAATATTGGCCAGTGATTAGTGCTGCCAAATACAAGACTGGGGTGGCTCCTATCATTGATGTTGTGGGAAGGGAAAGCTCCTGAAGCAACCTGTCACAGTGACAGCCAAATTCTCCTGCAGGAGAGCAGATGAGAAAAGGGAGTGGGAGGGCCCAGTGTTCTAGTAGCCTGAAGTCACCTAACTTAGAAAAAGCCTTTCTCTTAAAAAAAGAAAAGAAAAAGAAAAAGAAAAGAAAAGAGATTACAGCTGTGCCCTCCATTTCCCATTCATCTTTGATCTCTTATTTTCTGTCTCTCAAGGCATTCCAGCCTCATCTAGTATCTTTGTGCCCCAGCCCTGAAACCAGCTATTTCGCCAGTGAGCTTTGGTGCATTGGCCTAGAAAAGAAGTTTACACTAGGAGGTCTGGGTGATAGACGCGCTCATCTCTACCGGGTTTCTATGCCTTCACGAAAGGATCTCAGGAGGGTCTGCACATACTGAGGGACACCGTGGTCTTGCAGTTTTAGAGATGTTTAATGTGAAGAACGATGGTGCTGAGCAACCACGACTGTAAAAGTTGACACTGGAAACTGCCTGATGATTAAAGGAGATAGTCTTTAATATTAAAACAAAACAAACACTGTCCTCTCGTTGTTCATTGATTTGCTCAAGTGGGTCAAATAACGTCTCCATTTTGAGACTTGTTGTTACTGTGTTTGGCATATTGAATACCTCACGAGTAGCTTCCCAGGCTTTGCCGTGGGGGCAAGATACTCTTGGACTCTCCAAGAGGGGCGGAGGAATTGAACCCGGCTCGGCTGGCTGCGCTCAAGGCAAACGCCCTACCGCTGTGCTATCACTCCAGCCTTTAATGTTAAGAAGCTAATATTTCCCCCTAAATTTTATTTATTTATTTACTTAATGGATCATGATGGAGTTTCCCCTTAAATTTTAGCATTGCTCTTTCTCCCAGGGAAGTTTTACCTATCAATGTGGTAATAATAGTTATAGGCATGTTTCCAAATCTTTTTAGTCTTTTTTCCAGCTGCTTTGTGAATATTAGCTGAATATTAGCTGACACTGCAGTCTCAAAATGAAAATGTGTTAAAATGATTTAATGTTCTCAATGTTACAACCATTTTGGGAGGCAAATAAGTTTTTGAGCCCTTATCAAGTTGTCATTTTATGCAATCATAACGCGGACTATCTTTATTGCTAATTATGAAATCCTAGTGACTTTGGAATGTAATATTGAGCTTTTTTATTGTCTGATAAAAATTTGAATTTTTTATTTTATATTAAAATTTCTATTTATGTGTAAACACATAACCTCAATTAAAAGCTCTATTTCAGAGCTGATAATGTGGCTCAGTTGGAGAGCATGGGCTTAGTGTGATATTCTGGGTTTGATTTCAGGCACCATCACCAAAAAAGAGAGCTCTTTTTAATTCTCTGAAGAGTCTGCACTTATTCTGAAACGTAACCATGAAAGTTTGTAAGCCTGTCCCTGCACCTCACTGGGATCCATTACAAAAAATAAATAAAAAAAGAGCCTCTGTCTTTATTAATGAATAAAAGACTTTATTTTAAATATTTAATATTTATAAGCATATATTAAATATTTCAATTGATAAATATTATTATTTTAGTTATGATTTTTTGAAGGTTGTTTTTTGCTTTATGTTGGCTATTTGGTTTTGGATTTCAATGCTTGAGGACTTCTAAAAATGCATGGTGGTCTCTGGTTATTTTAGCATATTTGCGTAAAGCTGGAATCAAGTATGTGAGAGGAGATTAGCTGGTGGGATCACACGAGAACCTGTGGGAGATTAGTGAGCATTTCTTTGCCAGCTGCCTAAATGTCATCCTATCAGTTCTTTCTTTTGGTCTGGTCTTTTGTCCTACTCATGAATCTTCCAGTTCTTTTGGTCTGGAGTTTACTTGGCAGCTTCAGTTTTAGACTAGTCAAAATTAGAGCTGAGGGCCTTGGTGTTCATACATTTATTTTTCAGTAATTTATTGGGTATGCAGTAGCAAACCCAGGGTCTCATAAATTTTGAGACATTAATTCTATCACTGAGCTATACCCCTGAACCCTTAGTTTATTGTGTACTTAATAAAAACTATTAATTAGGAGTGTGGTTAGAGAGCTAGTGCAGGGGATAAGATACTTGTCTTGCATGTGGCTGACCCTGGTTCGATCCCTGGCACTGTGTTGCTTCCCCAGAATGCCTCTGGGAATGACTGCTGAGCACAGAGGTCAGAGCACTGCTGGGGGTAACCCATCACACCTCCAAAATAAATACATACATACATAAATAAAACTATTTTTATAGATGCCACACACAGTGGTGCTGCTGGGAGTGGGGGCTGAGGGGCAGAAGGGCAGGGCAACTTGACTCATAGCATCCTCCCATCGGAGCATTAAACTGGACACCTTGCTTAGCTGGGTATTGTCAGGAATATTCCAAGCTCCCTAAGCAGTACTTGGGAGCCTCTCAGCACCACAAGAGAAGTTCACACAGGGTGGAGAAAGTAGCCCATTTGGCAGAGGACATGTCTAGCATGTTCAATCCCAGGCATTGGGTGGCCTTGCTGACCTCCGGCATCACCTGGATGAACTTGGTACTATAAGGCAATGCAAGTCCAATATATATATATATAACAAGTCCAAAAAAAATCCAATTCACTTAAAAGGTAAGCTTGTACATGACTTTACATTAATTTTCCTTATCACTGTCACTGTCCTCCCGTTGTTCATCAATTTGTTCGTTATCACTTTGCTTTTTTATTTTAATACTATTTTAAAGCAAACTTAATTTGACCATATGATCCAGTTCCTTCATACTGTAGCTGGAGTCTGAGGGTCAGAATAAAGGAAAAACCCAGCGGAACACATAAGGGTACAGAATAGTTACTTATTTTTATTCCCAAACTGTGAATAGGAACCGGAAGTCATTAACTAGATTTTCTTTTTTTTTCAGTCTTTTACTTTCCGGAGCTTGAAATACGTGAAACCAGGACAGCAACTCACACGACGCGTGAGCGGGTGTGCGCGGACGTAGAGGCGCACGCTCACGTCCACGCCCACTTTGCCTCGGAGAAGCCCGGTGCGGGAGGAAGAGCTCGGAAAGTAGCAGGACGGTACCATGGTAACGGCACCCGGCGCGCACGCGCCCCTTTAAAGAGCCGGCGTGCGCCGAGCCACTGAGCCCCGCCCACATCCTCGGATCGCTCCGCCTCCGGGTCCGGGCTGCACTTTGCCCCGCCCTGCGGAACTCAAGCCGCCAATCACCGCGCGCCATTCCCTCGCCGTCATTGGCGCGTGCCCCGGTTTCGAAAGCCTGGGGGCGGGCTCCTGGGTTCGCGCACGCGCCGTGGCGCGCTTTTCCCCCTCCACGCTGGTTCCGCGTCCTCCCGGCTGAAGTCCCTCCGCCTGGCCGCCGGGCATCTCGTGTGGCGCGTGTTGCGGCCGACGCGGGCTTTTGGCGGCGCGATGGGCAAACCTGCCGGCTCTCGGGGTGGCGGCGGTTCCGACCCGGTGCGGAGTTTCAATCGCTGGAAGAAGAAGCACAGCCATAGGCAGAGCCAGAAGAAACAGCTGAGGAAGCAGCTCAGGAAGCCCGAGTGGCAGGTGGAGCGCGAGGGCATCAGCCGCCTGGTACAGGACTACGAGAAGGTGAGGCGCGCGCGGGGGCACCACAGGTGGGCCGGGCCGCCCGGGCCGCCCCTCTGCCCACTCGCGGTACTCGCTGGCGTGCTCCCCTGGAGGCCGAGGCGGAGAAGGGCCGAGGCGTCCTCCGGGTCCGTAGCGATGAGGATCCCGAGGGCCGGCCTGGTAGGGAGAATCCCGATCCGTGGGACCCCCGCCCCCCAGAGTGGCTCCTCTGAGACTCTCACCCTTTCCCTCACCCCTATACGTTGCAACCAAGTCCTGGGCTTGGTCCGGGCCATCAGCCCATTTCCCAGGGGAGAAGGCTGAGGGCCTGGGCAGAGGCACTTGGAGGAGGGGCCACCTGGACCTCCTCTACCCTGCGTCCCTTTTGATCCGCAGCTTTTGCTCCGAGGCCCCGGAGCGATAGCACCGCGGGTAGGTAGGGCGTGTGGCTTGCACGCGGCCGACCCGGGTTCGAGTCCTCCGCCCCTCTCGGAGAGCCCCGCAAGCTACCCGTGACGTATTCGATACGCCAAACACAGTAGTAACACGTCTCGCAATGGAGACGTGCCTGGGGCCCACTCGAGCAAACCGATGAACAACGGGAGGACAGGGCTACAGTGCTATATTTTGGCCACGCCAAAAAAAAAAATAGCGTGCTCCGGGGGATCCTATGGGGGTTCCCGGGTTCGAACCGGGGTCTCTGCGGTTGAACCCTTTTGCCGACTCGCCTGCTTGCTGCGGCTTCCTTCTCCTCCCGCCGTCGCCTTCTCCGCCTGCTTCACGCCCCACCGCGTCCAGGAATCTGCCTAGAAAAGGGGCCACTCCTGGTCAGTTTCAGGGTTCCGAGTTCCCTCCCCCCCGCCCCTTCGGTAGCCGAGTATCCCCGAGGTCTCGGTCCATCTTCCGACCACCTCCAGGATCGCGGTGCCTCCCTGTGTCAGTGCCCCTTCCTCTTCCCCCCTCCCCCGATCCCGCGTCCCTTGCGACCACCCACCCAGCCACGCACCCACCCACGCTCTCAGCAGGCGTGGAGGTTGCCCCCTTTCAGTGCTGCGCAGTCAGGCGTTTCCCACGTGCGTCTGTTCTGGAACGAAATGTAACTTGAATGATCCTTCGGGCGATGAGTTAGTTTAGAGCCACGGTTTGTGGCTCTGGATCGCCTGTTGCATGACTTTGGGTCATTCAAGCTACGCAGAAGAGAAGCAACTGTTTCTTCTCTTATCTTTAAGAGATGTAATAGCATTTAGGAGCCAGGGAGGTAGCTTGGCGATCAGCCACCCGTGCTTTGCGTGGGCCAACCTCAAATTTGAACTGTAACAGTTTGGTAGCTCTCAGAGCACCACTAGGTGCAGTTCTGGAGGCCCTCACTGGAGTGGTGGCCTTGGTGTCCCTGGGCGGAGCAGCCCCGCATCCTAGGATTCTGGCATTGAACTCCTGGGTCTGGTTGACCAAGTGTCTCTGGCTGTGGTCCCTGGGACCCCAGCACTGCTTGGGAGGTAACCCCCTACCCCCGTCCCCTCAAAATACTGTCCAAACCCTGTCCTCCTGTTCATCGATTTGTTAGAGCGGGCCCAGTAACAAGTCTCCATTGTCAGACTTGTTGTTACTGTGTTTGGCATATCCAGTACCTCGTGGGTAGCTTGCCAGGCTTTGCCCTGCGGGTGAGATACTCTAGGTAGCTTGCGGGGCTCGCAGAGAGGGGCGGAGGAATTGAACCTGGCTCAGCCGGGCTGGCTGCACGCAAGCCAAATGCCCTACCGCTGTGCTATCGCTCCAGCCTGTCCCCCCAAATCAAAAATCATATCTACATGATAAATTGTGGGGAGTTAGCTAGACTCCAGTGTAAGGCACTTTGCACAGTGACTGACAATATGCACTCCATTTTACTTCTTAGGATATTATTGCTACTATATATACAGCACCTCCAGAGCCCAGTGTCTAGCAAATTACAATTAGATTGCATTTGAACTCTGCAGCTGACATCTCTGCATCCCCCTAAGTATTGCTTAGGACCCAGTAACCGCAGCCAGCTTTTTATCACTCCCTTCTCATGGTTCGTTCCTCTGGACAGGTGCTTCCTTATTTTATTCTGGCTTTATCTTTTCTGACTTTACGCTCTTCCTCCTCACACTGTTGGATGTCTCTAGTTGTATCAGCAGACAACTTAAAGGCCCAAATTCAAAAGGAAGCTCATCTTTTTCCTTTGTATCTCAGCAACCCTTTCTAAGTTTACTGTCTAGTGTATTAGTTCCCTATTGCGATGGTCACAAATGAACACGAACTCAGTGATTTACAACAGCAGAGACAATTTTTTTCACAGTCCAGGAATCTGGAGTCAGTTTCATGGATTAAAATCAGGATGCTAGCAGGACCTCAGTCTCCAGAGACTCTGGGGGAACCCTTTGTTTCCTCTTGCAGCTTCTGGTGCATGTTTGTTTTCCTTGGCTTGTGGCTGCATCACTGCAGTCTCTCCGCATGGACACAGTGCCTTCTGATTTATGTCAAATAACCTCTTACCCTCCCTGTCTCTTTTTCTACACACACACACACACACACACACACTTTATTATTTATTTATTTATTTTGCTTTTTGGGTCACACCTGGCAATGCACAGGGGTTACTCCTGGCTCTGCAATTCTCAGGAATTACTCCTGACAATGCTCTGGGGATCATATGGGATGCTGGGAATCGAACCCAGGTTGACTGCGTGCAAGGCAAATTCCCTACCCGCTGTGCTATCGCTCCAGCCCGACACACACACACTTGATTTATTTATTTATTATTTATTTATTTTTTTTGCTTTTTGGGTCACACCCAGTGATGCTCAGGGGTTACTCCTGGCTCATGCACTCAGGAATTGCTCCTGGCGGTGCTCAGGGGACCATATGGGATGCTGGGAATCGAACCTGTGTCGGCCATGTTGGCTGTATGCAAGGCAAACGCCCTACCCGCTGTGCTATTGCTCCAGCCCCGATTTATTTATTTTTAAAAAATTTTTATTAGTGAAACAACATGAGGTACAGTCGTAGACTTACAAATTTTTGTGCAGTTATACAATGATCGAGTACCCATCCCTCCACCAGTGCCCGTTTTCTACCACCACGGATCCCAGTATCCCTCCCACCCCCCATCCCCCTCATCCTACCCTTCCTCTGTGATGATTCCCTTTTCTCTCTCTCCTTTTGGGTGCTGTGGTTTGCAAAAGAGGCATTGAGTGGCAGTTATGTTCAGTCTATAGTCTACTTTCAGCATGCTTCTCCCATCTTGGGAGGATCCTTCCAACACTCTTTATTTGGTGCTCCCTTCTATCTGAGTTGCCCTTTCCCCTAGCATGTGTGACTGGCCTCCAAGCCATGGAGAAAACCTCCTGGTATTTATCTTGGCTATTCTTGGGTGTTAGTCTCCTATTTTGTTACTTTATGTTCCCCAGATGAATGCAATCTTTCTCTGTCTGTCCTGCTCTTTCTGACTCATTTCGTTTAGCATGATACTTTCCATATTGTACCACTTGTATGTAAATTTCATGACTTCATCTTTTCTAACAGCTACATAGTACTCCATTGTGTAGATGTATCAAAGTTTCTTTAACCAGTCATCTGTTCTCAGGTACTAAGTTTTTTTCCAGATTCTGGCTATTTGTAAAGAGTGCTGCAATGAACAAACCAGAGCAGATGTCACTTCGACTATACTTTTTTTTTGCCTCTCCGGGGTATATTCCCAGGAGTGGTATTGCTGGGCCAAATGGGAGCTCAATTTCTAATTTTTGGAGAATCGTCCATAATGTTTTCCAAAAGGGCTGAACCAGTCGGCATTTCCACCAGCAGTGAAAGAGGGTCTCTTTCTCGCCACATCCGCGCCAGCACCGGTTGCTTTTCTTCTTTTGGATGTGGGCCAGTTTCTGTGGTGTGAGATGATATCTCATTCACACACACGCTTTAAATGAAGACAATTTTGATTGCATTTGGGACCCAGATTATCCAGATTAATAGACCGCTGGTCTCACAATCTTTAATCACAGTTGCAAAGTCACTTTCCCCTTCTCTTTGTTCTTCTTGTTGCATGGCCCATGGGATCATGGGTTTGTGGTTCTTGCTTGGAATCTCAGATTTTGTAGTGCTCACACATTGAACCACTGTACTCACTGGAGGGGTGCAGCACTTCCGTTAAAAAAGTCAAGATTAAAACCCAGTCATTTTTTCTCTGTCTTAAGTCCTTCTTTAGTTTACAATTATTTTCAGGAAAATGTTCTGATACTGAAATATATCTGAAATATATTAGCATGTTTCTAGGCCAGTGAAAGCTCCCCCCCCTCCCCCCCCCCCCCCCACACACACACACCTTTTTTGGGGGAGGGATCAGGCAGACCTGGTTTTAATACTCGCTGAGTTTTTAATATCAGCCAGTTTGTTTCCTTTACTGTCTGGTCTTTCTTTTTCTTCATTCAGCAAAAATGATTGATTCCAAGGAGTAAGACTCATAGGGAAATGTGGAAACCAGCTGGTACATAATACAAGTGATCCGCATACATTAACACAGCACTTTGACACTTGGGGAAGTGGGCTTTATCTTTGATGCCTCACTGCCTGGTACTTGAGGTTTTCACTGTTTATAGTGAGCATCCCTGCTCTAGGGATGTCCTCTGATTTGTCAGGATTGACCTCAAATTTCTCTTCTGACCACCTGAGCTGAGGAGGGCTGGTGGGTAGCATTTTGTGTTCTCTTTAGTTGGGTGTTGTTTGGAGGCCGTGGTGACTGCTCTGATTTCCTTTAACTATTGGTTTTGCGCCTGTGGGGGTCAGAGACCATTGATTTACCTGCCTGGCTGCACAGTTCTGCCCTGGAGTAGGTGCCCAGTGTTCCCAAAGTGGGCAGTTCTCACTACCCAATCCCTCACCCAAACTCAGTGTGCTGGAAGGATATAGGGAGTGAAGGGAAGTGAAGGTAACCATAGGTACAATTGAGGGGTGCTTTCTGTTTGTTCACTTAAGGTTAATATGAAGAGGGGGAGGTTGCTAAGTGATTTAATTTTTTTTTTCCCTGAAAAGGGAATGCCAAGCCAAATAAGTTTGGAACCTTTGTGTTAGGTGATTGGTCCTCACATAAGACCTTGCCCGGATGACTTGATTCTACTCGATTGGACTTCTGTTTTCACAGGAATAATTACCAACTCTCATCAATCTTTTACACGTGCTGACCAGTTGTTTTCCATAGACTTAGTGAGGTTGTTCTCATTGTAGGTTTCCTCTTTCATCCCAAAGCACAGTGTTCCTATTGGGTATGATTTGGTTTTTGGGTCTGGAAATACTGTTATCATTAATTTATATGGAATTACTTTGTTTTGCTTTGGGGTCACATCTGACAGTGTTCAGGGATTATTTCTGGCTTTATGCTCTAGAGTCTCCTGGAGATGCTAGGGGGACCATAAATTGGTATCAGGGATTGAATTGAGGTTGAGTGCATGCAAGGACCTGTACCCCTGTGCTATCTCTCAAGCCCTGGAATCATTTTTGAGTGTTCCCAGACCCCCAAACTAAATCTTCCAATTAATATCAATTAGGAATGCTCTATTAAACTATTTTTAATTGATTTTGGAGACATCTGTGGTGCTTGAGGTCACCACTCACACAGTACTTTAGTTTGATAATGTGGGGACAAACAGGGCCATACCTAGTTGTGCTTACAGTGCCAAGGATTAAACTCAAGGCCTCACATGTGCTTAGCATGTGCAAAGCATTGAACAACATCTCCAGTCCCTAGGAATGCTCTAATTTTGGGTAAAAGAGTGGCCTGGATGCAAATGAAGAAACTTAAGGCACGAGGCAGGGTTAAGTAATGTGCACAAAGTTGAACTTGTAATAACTGAAAAGTCCCAGCCTTGATGCCAGAACGCCAAACAAGACCTTGTCTGTGTCGCTGAACATGGAGTTTGAAATTCCAGTCTTCACTAAGTGGAAGGAAAAGGCAGTCCCTTCTTGTTATAATTTGTGTTTCATTTGTTTATTTAAATGTTAGAAAATTTTAAGATTTTGAGTGTGAGGTCAATTGCTAGAGATAGCAGTACTAGATACACTTTGCATTTTTTAAAAAAAAATCTTAGGCCTCACTCTGCTGTGCTGAGGGACAACACTTGGCTCTGTGCTCCGGGGCCCACTCCTGGTGGTGCTTGGGGGATCCTTTGGTGTTGGAGATCAAACCCTGGCCACATGGTCGCTTCAACAACCATATTGACAATGGATAAATGAATGATTGGAAATGTGTTCCTATAAAACTATCATTTTCAAAGACAGGCAGCAAACCGAATTGGGCCCCTGGGCCATAGTATATGTCACCTCTCCTGGCTCTGATGGGGACAGGGGAGTTAGAGGCTAATCTAACTGTAAACATTCTGTAAACTCCTGCTGTAAACATTCAATTCATTGTGCTTGAGCTGTACTCTGTTAGGTGCCAAGGAAGACCCGCCTAATTTTAATGTGCAAGCTGGAAAAACACCTTCTAATTGAGATTTCCTCAAAGGGTCAGCATATAGGAATACACTTTATTCCCTTAAACGCTAGTGGGGATTAGCATTGATTCCTCCTCTCCAGTGTTAACTGGATGATTTGTAGGGATTAAGGCATTGTTTTAATATTTGTGTTTTCAGCATTAGAGACCAGAAAGTAATTTGGCTAGGCCACGTTAAGAGTCTTGAAAGAGATGATGTGTAGACTGTTAAATGAAATACATGCTGTCATCCCTTTATTGCCTGGAGTGTAATTTAAATAAATGAACCTTATAAATGTGACTTTCCCTTTTATAATTCATGAATATTTTGGCAACTTATTCCCAGGTCTGAACAGTAGTTCCTGCTTTCAGCATCTGTAATAAAATTATTCTCCTGTGTCTCTAAAATGAAATTCAGGAAATTGGGTTTATGCTAATGAGAAACATTGGTAATGAACATTTAGATAATGTAAAGTTAAAGGGCAAAGTGTTAGTTATTGTGACTTCAAGACATGACAGAGACACTTCTCCTGGTTACTGTGAATAATGTTCCTTCAGGATATCCTCTGTAAGCAATTTTCAGGTTTCCCCATGCTAATGACAAAGTTAAAACGTTGACAGGCTTGTTCTAATGACATACTTCTCCAAGTAACATCAGTCAGTTCTTCTCGTGTATTAATAAAACTTTTCATCACGATCATGGAGAAATAGTTCAGTGGGTAGGGTGTTTGCCATGCACATGGCCGTCACGTCTTTGATCCCAGACACCCCATATGACCCCCTGAGCCCCACCAGGAGTGATCCTTGAGCTCAGAACCAGGAGTAAGCCCCGAGCGCTGCAGGGTGTGGATCAAAAACCAAAACCAACAACAAAATGCCTATTTTCATCATGATCAGTAATTTATAGTAATTTTGTTCTTTATATACTCTTAATATTTTAGTGATGGAGGATGTCTCAAGATAGTTGAGAGAGAGGCAGGGTATGTGTGTGTGTATGTGTGTGCGAGCACGTGCGTGTGTGTATGAGATAAAGGTTTTGTTGTGTTATAAACTTAGATTTTTGTGTCCTAAAAGTGTTTTCAAAAGAATTAGATTTTTAAAAATTAGAAGTTGATTGAATTTAGTCCTGAAGAGTCAAGGATGAGCTGGACAGCGCACCGTTGATAAAAAATGGTTTTATTGTGAATCAAATGAATAAGAGTTGTTATTTTGACTATTTTACAATTTCTCTTTTTCCCCAGATAAATGTAAATGAAATCACACGATTTTCAGATTTCCCTCTGTCCAAAAAAACTCTGAAAGGTAGGTATATGAAATATTCCAGTGACATGTTTTTGGGTTTCTTGTTACTTTTTTTTTTTTTTTTTTGCTTTTTGGGTCACACCTGGTGATGTACAGGGGCTACTCCTGGTTCATGCACTCAGGAATTACTCCTGGCCGTGCTCGGGGGACCATATGGGATACTGGGAATTGAATCTGGGTCGGCCGCGTGCAAGGGAAATGCCCAAATGCCCTCCCTGCTCTGCTATCGCTCCAGCCCTCTTGTTACGTTTTTTTTTTTGCTGTTTGGGTCACACCCGGCAATGCACAGGGGTTACTCCTGGCTCATGCACTCAGGAATTACCCCTGGCGGTGCCCGGGGGACCATATGGGATGCTGGGAATCGAACCCGGGTCAGCCGCATGCCCTACCTGCTGTGCTATCACTCTAGCCTCTCTTGTTACTTTTTATAAATGGTAAATGTTTAAAGCAAAAATTCTATTTTGGGAGATAACTCTAATATGAGAACCTATAACACAAAAGATACTGCTTTTACTCTTGCCAACTTATTCTCTTTAGCCTTTCTGAAGTCTGAAGTACAGTAATAAAAATTAAAAAGATGCCAGGGCCCCTAAAAATTAAGATGAAACTTAATTTTGTTACTTAAGCAAGAGAGCACACAGTGATAGCACTCTGTATTAGTTCTCCAGGGTGCTATAACCAAATAGCAAAGATTAGGTGGCTTAAACAGCAGAAACGATTTTTTTCACAGTCCTGGAGCTCGGGACTGCAGAGGTCAAGGCGCTGAGCAGGATTGGTTTCCTTTGAAGTCCAGAATGGAAGGCTCTGCTGTCTGGTCTCATTCCTTGGCGATTTCCTTAAGGATGGCCACCTTTTTGCTTCCTCTTCATATTGGTGTCTTGCTTTGTGTGTGAAATCCTGGTGTCTTTATTTGTCCAAATTTCTTCATAAGAAACACCAGACTGATTTAAGGTCTGCCTTCAGGGCTCATTTATAGCTTAGAAATTAACACTAAAGGTCCCCTCTGTGGTCACTTTAAAAAAATTTAAATTTTATCCCCCCCCCCCCTTTCCTTTATTGTTGTTACTAAAATAACTGAAAATTGTGTCCACACTTGGCTGTGGTGCTGACTAGTGGTTGCACATTTCACTTGTCGTGCTTGCAAGCATCTTTGCTCTGGTAGTGAGCCTTTAGTGATGTGCTCATTCCTAGCCTTCCCCGGGGCCATGCTCCTGGCTGCAGGGCTTGCATGGTGGGTCTTTTGTAGATGATGTTGCAGTGCTTTTAATGCTGGGTGCTTAGAGATCTTACCCTGTGCTGCCCACATGTTATGGTGCCAGGACATTTGTGACATATGTGGGTAGCACAGACTTTAACTCATGGCCTCTTAGGTGTGAGGCAGTTGCTTTTGCGACTGAGCAATTAGTTGGTCCCATCTTCACATTCGGAGGAACTGGGAATTGGGACTTGAACATATGAATTGGGAGTGATGGGTGGGGGGGCGGGGGAGGTTCTTATAATTTAGCTTCTAGTATTATTTTCAGGATATTTTCTAAAGTGTCATTCTTCCGTACACGCTGCCAGGTCTGCAAGAAGCCCAGTATCGCTTGGTAACTGAGATACAGAAACAGACCATTGGTTTAGCTTTGCAAGGTAAAGATGTTTTGGGAGCTGCCAAAACTGGATCTGGCAAGACCCTGGCTTTCCTTGTTCCAGTAAGTTTATTTACGGTGGGTCAGATTCTCTAGCACGTGGTTTTTAGGCATTCTGTGCCTGGATAGAAATAATTATGTAAAGAGTTATTTTGTGTTGGATTTCTCTGGGTAGAATACCAGCTATGTGAGACAGGACTCCCTGTCTTGTATGCTACCATATTTCCTAGTTTGGTGCCTTGCATATGGTAGGCATTTAGTAATTTACTGAATTAATACATTTTGCTCTAACTAGCCAGGGCATTCCTGGTGGATTGCGGGGTATTAGGGCACAGATGCAAATAGTTCTACTTTGTGGTAAAAATCGAAGGGAATGCTATAGAAAGTCTTACCATTGCCAAGGGCATTTATACTTACTAACTGTATCTGTTCAAGTCAAAAATGCTCATTAGGAGATTGGGTCATTTTCTGAGAAATTTCTGGAGTGTTAATATACCTCATACAGTAGAACTATAGAGCCTCATAGGAGTTACCTAACTTCTCAACTATGCAGTTTGTCTCATAATTTACTTCTGGGGATTGAATAATCAATGAGGAATGAGCCTTACTGCTAAAACCAAACCCCAACACATATTTTTTTGGTTTGGTTTTGTTTGGGGCCACATTCCTGGCAGTGCTCAGGAATCACTCCTGACAGTGATCAGGGACCATGTGTGGTATATCACAGCTGGGTCAGCCACAGGCAAAGCAGGCACCTTAACCCCTGTACTACCTCCCCAGCCTTCAAGATTTCATAACTTTTAATTCCTATAAGATATTTTGCTCAGAAATTTTTATTTTAAATACTTAAAACCTTTTTTCCTCTTAAATTCCAATTAAATAATATATGGGATTAGAAAATTAGTCATGGTGTAATAACAGCAGATAAAAGTTTATTTTAATGTGATTTCTATTCAGAAAATTGCCACAGATATTTCCTGGAAGTCTATGTTAATGGCTGTTAATTTCAGTCCCTTAATGGTCTGGCTCTGACAGCAGCTGGGTTGCCAGAACTTCTTATTCTTTTCCTTTATGATTTGGAGATTTGGACGTGTGTCCTGGTGTATGGAAGAAAAAGGGAAAACAAAGCATTCAAAATAGATAAAACTTGTGACTGGCATGCCTTGGGTTTGACAGATGCTTTTGATTTGGAGAGGCAAAGCTGAGACTTGGGAATCAAAAGCATTCTCGGAGGGCTTACTGAAAACCTAAACTGCTGTCTCTTCCGAGGTCTTGGAAGCTTTGTATCGTCTGCAATGGACATCAACAGATGGGCTGGGGATTTTGATAATCTCACCTACGAGAGAACTGGCCTATCAGACCTTTGAGGTTCTCCGAAAAGTAGGAAAAAATCATGACTTTTCAGCTGGTCTCATCATTGGTGGAAAGGTTTGTCCTTTTGCCCTTACCCTGCTTTCCTTCTATAACTTATGTGGGAGTCCTGTGACAGATCACAGGGAAGAGTTAGAGATCTCACCTAGACAGGTGGGGCCCTGAGACATGGCTTCATTGAGTGGCAGTTACCCTGGTATGTCGCTGTCATCTTGAGCGTAAAATTTTAAAGTTTCATGTTTTCAAATATTTTGAGTTTCCCTGTTGGTTTCTCTGAGACTAATTTGCTCTAACCCGTGAATCTGTTTGTTAATGTATATTGGAAAAGAGAACTTTTCAGTATGTATATATGTAGAACTGGTATCTTAGAGATGAACGTAGCTGGGTTAGTAGCAGAAGTAAGAAGGTAAAAGATGGTTTTGAGGGATGTTTATTTGAGTAAAACCTACTCAACTTCTGCTTATTGTACATGTACAGTGTTTGCACAGTCTAGAGCCTGTTCTAACTGCAAGGATAAACACTTGCAGATATAGATCTTCGCAAAAAAGAAGCATTACAAACCTTCACATCTTACTACAGTTTTTAGAAGAGCATTCTGTAGGTCTTATTTCTAGGGAAGAACATCTAGAATCTAGATCACTCATCGCTTATTTTTTCTAGTCTAGTGAGGTCAGTGAGCAGAGTCAGAACTCCATGCCCCTGAAGTTCCGTGTGCCCAGAGATGCTTAGGAACTAAGCTGGGTGTGTTGTTGAGGGTTTCTCCTGGCTGTGCAGGGGGAAGGAAAGGAGGACCGTGTGTGCCAAGAATTGAACCTGGGCCTCTCACATGCAGTACATGCCTGGTAGCCATTTGAACTATGCTCCCAGTTCTGAGCTGGGTCTTCATGAAGGACTTTTATTTTACCCTGACATTTGACTGTACTGCAGAAATAGAAGAGAGAGGTGGTAATTATTTCTAGGGTATCTTCATTGCTGTGATGAAATGTTGCATGCAGATGGCTTTTATAGTTTGGGTGCACAGGCTGTTCAGTGATGTGTGTGTGTAATCAAAGGAAACAACTGTTTTCAGGATCTGAAACATGAAGCTGAGAGAATCAATAACATAAATATACTTGTTTGTACACCGGGCCGGCTTCTTCAACACATGGATGAAACGATATGCTTTCATGCTACCAATCTCCAAATGTTAGGTGAGTCTAAAGAATTTCTAATGAAGAAAATCTGACTTTGGAGGAAGCCGTCATAAATTTTAATGAAAGAACTTTCATATTGGGTAAATATTGTGATTAAAGAGAATCTGAGAAATAACTTGAAATAAATTTTTGACATATGGGTTCCAAACTCAGAGAACACAACTAGACTTGTTTTAAAATCAAAATAGAGAAATGAGCACTCTTATTTGTAAATTAGGCATCTCAGGATTTGACAATGTTAAGTTTAAAAAGAAAATTTATTTTTTGGAGGGTTGTTTAGGACCACATCTGATAGTGCACAGGGCCTATTCCAGACTTGTTACTTGGGTGACTCTGGAGTCTGAATTGGGGTCTTTCTGCATGCCTGTGTATGAAGCATGTCCTCAACTGGTAGAGACATTTGACCCAACACTACCAAGTTTTGCCTGTTCATTTATATCTATTTAATGATATTACCTAATGTCCTGTGTAATGCATGATGGGTATGGATTTGAGTCAGTCTGTCTTTGAATAATTCCAGAGGTACAGTTGTAGTGGTAGTAGAGATAGTTCCTGTTAGGACCTTCCCCAAGTGTCCCCATGTATAACATCTGATAAAACTGTGGAACCTTAATGAGATTAGCATTGGCTTTTATTTTTTATTTTTTTTAATGAAAAAATTTTTTAATAGTGAGACATCATGAGGTACAGTTGCAGACTTACACATTTTTGTGTTTGGGTTTCGATTATACAATGATCAAATACCCATCCCTCCACCGGTGCCCATTTCCCACCACCACAGATCCCAGTATCCCTCCCACCCCCCATCCCCCCCATCTCAGCCTGCCTCTGTGGCAGGGCATTCCCTTTTGTTCTCTCTCACTTATTGGGTGTTGCGGTTTGCAAAAGAGGCAATGGGTGACAATCATGTTTGGTCTATAGTCTACTTTCCGCATGCTTCTCCCATCCTGGGAGGATTCCCCCAACACCTTTATTTGGTGTTCCCTTCTTTATCTGAGCTCCCTTTTCCCCTAGTATATGTGGTTGGCCTCCAAGCCATAGCATTGGCTTTTATCTGCATTTCAGGACCTCTTTGAGTTCACTAGTTATTTTTTTCTTTTTGTTAATGCCCATTTTTGTTGAACAATTCAGTCCAGAATACCACATTGCATTTAGCTTAATGTGTATTTTAAATATTGTGATTCAACTGGATTTTTCCTTCTTAGTTCTTGATGAAGCAGATAGAATTTTGGATATGGGCTTTGCTGACACCATGAATGCTATCATTGAAAATCTTCCCAAGAAACGTCAGACTTTGCTTTTCTCGGCCACGCAAACCAAGTCTGTAAAGGATCTCGCACGATTGAGTTTGAAAAACCCTGAGTATGTCTGGGTTCATGAAAAAGCAAAATACAGGTAGGTATGCACAATTTGGAAAAGTACTTGGTTTAGTCAAAATAAGTTACCTTTAAGAATGTAATATTTGAAGTTAATATAACTTTTGTAGGAAATAAGCATTATATTTTACTAATATATGAAGATATATTAGTAAGGATTATATAACTTCTTGGACCTTTAACAGAGTACTCTGAAGTATTTCTGTAAATGTGACTTAGGGAACAAATCTTTTTTCATAAAGATAATAGCTATTCACCAGTTACCATTCATAAAAGGAGAGGATTTCCAGATAAATGGCACATTGGGTTAAATTTTTCTTTATGACTTCTTGGAAGTTTATTTTCACTGCTGTTATTTCCTGAAGAAGTGGTGATATGAAGTACGGCTTTTTGCATTTTGTCAGTTCAGTTTATTTGATTTCAGAATCATTCTTTTCTAACTGCATTATGCAGGACTAAAGTACATTTAATCAAATGCATTAATACTGAGAAAAATATCTTTCTGTTTACAACATTCAGGCAATTACTTTGTCTAGATCTCACTAAAACTGGAATGTAAGGTAAGTGAGTTTGTGACAGTAAAAAGTTTGATGTAATATATATGGACTGGAAAATACAATTCAAAATGTATTCAGATATTGTGACAGCTGAAAGTTTGTGTGTTTACGTTTGGGTTGAATTGTGTACTGACATTCAACTTTGAAAAATGCTTTCTGCCTAATTTCAAAATTATTATTATAAAAATTTTTAGTCGAATGTTTTTGGGATCTCTCAGATTGTGCTCATGAGGCCTCGGGGCCCCCTCCGGCCATTTTTGGTTTGATGGTTTTGTGCAAAAGTCAGAGATGTGGTACTCAAGGTTCACAGTGCTGGGGATAACCTAGCCATCTTGGCCATGTTGTGAACTTTCAAAGATGTCCCCAGTGGTGCGTAGGGGACCAGATGGACTGGGGATCTCACTCAGGTCAGGAACATGCCTGGCATCTCGCTAACCTTCGTACTATCTCCTGGCCCCTCGTAGGTATTTTAAACCTGGTACTCCTAAGAAAAGAAAAATTTTCCAAGGTATTAAAAAACCATGATTAATTACAGGTTTTTCTGAAAAGTTAGAACAGAATTTTTCTCCAGTAAACCTGAGCTCTAATAAGTGTTTTAATCTAATAATGTTTCAGTCATTAAAGGGTCTCTAATATGTTTTTATAAGACATATTCATTTTATCCTTCACCTCAAGTCTATGCTACCTTGGTTGCTTCCATAGTTCTCTAAGACCGAAAGAATAATTTGACACAGACTGCCTCAATCCATTAGGATTTTCAAATGTGTTATGTTTTGATCACACACACACACACAGATACACACACAGAACATGAGTTCATAAGAATATTTCCAGATCAAATATAAGATGTTAGTCTTTACTGAGCCTCTTTTTTTTTTCTTTTTTTACAATTTTTTGTGCTTTGGTTTCAATTATACAATGATCAGATACCCCTCTTTGAGATCTTTGTATAATTACATATGCGGATGATGTCAGAGATCTTCATTTGTAACCACTTACTGGTTACTGAATATAGAATTGTTTCAGGGGAGTATCAGTACTGCTATCAGCAATGTGACTTTTGGGTGTTTGATTCCTTTGCATTTCTTCCCCTCTCCACCACCCCCAACCTGGATACTCTACTTCAAATATAATACATTTTTTGGACGTGATTTCTTGGTCTCTAAACTATCAACTATCAATTTGATAAATGTGTAGGTTCATTCATTTTTTTTTTCTGTGTATTCCCGTATGGAGAATCAATTATTAAGTTTTGACTGCCTTTATTTTTTTTTAAAGACAGTATATCGTATATATGTGTTTCTGTGCGTGGGTGTACACACACACATATATACACACATATATACACACGTATGTGATACATATATAAATGTGTATATATATACACACACACACACAAATTGTGTATCCCACCCTGATAAATGACAAAAAAATTTATGTATGATTTTTTTCTTTGCTTTCACTTAAGATTCTTAGGGCTATCTCTATTTGAATATGGAGATAGATTTGTATTTCTTTTTTACCTTTTACAGTTACATGATGCTTAATTGTATGAATGTACATTAGTTTATTTTAAACTTACAGACATGAATCAAATTTAACCTTTTATTTATCAATAATAATACAGTATCTTATATTTTTGAACATTTTTTGTGAAAAAATTCTACAAGTCGGTTTATTTGTACAGAGAGCAAATGTGTGTCTAAGTGTATGTGTGAGAAATTTGAGGTCTGTGCCATTGTTAAAATGTTGTCTCCTTTAGGTTTGATTTCAAAGTTATTAGCATGACTTAATTTAAATATTTTTTGCCTGTTCCATAAGCACCCCAGCGACTTTAGAACAGAACTACATAGTTTGTGAGCTGCAGCAAAAAATCAGTGTGCTGTATTCCTTCTTGAGAAGCCACTTGAAGAAGAAAAGTATTGTATTTTTCTCCAGTTGTAAAGAGGTACCAAATGTTTATTTTTCTTAAATTATTTACATTGAATCATCCTTTTAAAAATACCAAATTTCAGCTGAGTAAGTGTCCCCCCCAGTTCTAAAACATAGTGCTAGATGTGCTGTCCATGATAAGAATCCAGTATCTAGATTCTGTTGGTTTCTGTGGGCCTTCCAAGTGGTGGTGCAGGTCCCTGTGGTGGGGGGGACCAGGTAGAACTGGGATTGAACTGGGCTTGACTGCATGAGGGGATGTTACCTTTACCTGGTACTCCCTTTCTCTGTCCCCAGAGATTCCAGATCTGGGTTTTGGTTTTTGTGTTTGGTGCTCAGGGTTTACTTCTGGCTCTGCACTTAGAGATTACTCCTAGCGGTGCTTGGGGATCACCTGGGGTGCTAGGGATTGAACCTGGGTTGCCTGCATGCAAGGCGAGCTCCTTACCCGCTATACTATCTCTCCAGCTCTCAGCGATTATATTTTCAAGGAATCTGTGAATGAGATGGAAGGTTTAATAACACAGAAACCGGGGCTGTTCTTATCTTACTGCATGGTTGTTAGAACCTCGCACAGCACTTAGGACTTAGTAGCTTTGACACGGATTGGTGGATGAGCATTTAAACTTGCAAGGCTGTCCAGAGGTTTTTGCAATCTGGTAAGTAGCAGATTGAGAATATTCACCTGAGGGCAGAGTGATAGTACAGTGTATAGGACATCTGCCTTGCATGCCGTTGACCTGGGTTTGATCCCTGGCACCCTTAATGATCCCCTAAGCACTGCCAGGAGTGATCCCCGAGCACCATGGGTATGGCTAAAAAGAACAAAGAAAAGAAAAGAAAAAAAATTTTTATCTGAATGCTATTTATTTTCATGCTTTTCTGTCATTTTTTTATGCTGATCTCTGAAGTCCACTCCCAATATCTGTCTCTTTACCCTAATTCTGTGGGGGGATATTTAATCTTTTGAGACTTTTGAAGCTAAGTGCAGTTGTTATACCTAGAAGCCTTGAAGCACCTCAGAAATTTGAAGGGTGATAGTATGGAGTTTTTAGCAGTTTTAATTATAGTTTTAATCTATATTATTTTGGTTTTGACTTAACTTTTTACTGAAGTGCAGAGAATTAAAGTTATTAATTATTTAAATTAATTAATTAAATTATTTCATTTTTTATATTTTTGTATAGAGATTTTAACACCTATCTTAGAGAAAGTGGGATGAAATGATGGTGTGTCCTGCCTCAGTCTAGCAATCAGTAGGTAGAAAAACAAACTGAAGAGAAATAAAACCAAAATAGCACTTGGTTCCATTTAGTCTCATATACTTAGGGGTGTATTTATAATAAAATGTATTACATATAACAATTTTATGAAATGATAACACTTCTTTGGGCCAGTTCTACACCATAATTGTAATTATAATTCATTCTGAGCACACATTTTACCATGTGACTTTATGACCACAGGCAATTAAAAGAGGTTACAAAATGATTTGTAGTTTGAAGAAAGTCTGAGTTGGTCAATAAAATCTGATCAGTAAAAGACTTCAAAACATGAACTATTAAGATAAAATTCTATTGAGTTAGGAGATGAATTAAAGGAGGTAAAGAAATTATGTAAAATTTTTGTTCAGGGAAATTGCTTCTCGTACCCTTTTATCGCAGTTCAAAATTAGGGTTAGGGGCTCTTCCTACTCATGCAGAGTCTCCCTTATTAATTATATATGTTCTTTAACAGTTGTTGATAGGCATCAAATTTCATTGCTATTTAAAATCTGTTAGATGCTTTTAGAAGTATTTTAAAATGCCTGTTTAAGAGGGAGCTGGTAGGGGCTGGAGCGATAGCACAACGGGTAGGGCTTTTGCCTTGCTCGAGGCCGACCGGGGTTCGATTCCCAGCATCCCGTAGGGTCCCCCGAGCACCGCCAGGATTAATTCCTGAGTGAAGAGCCAGGAATAACCCCTGTGCATTGCCGGGTATGACCCAAAAAGAAGAAAAAAAAAAGAGGGAGCTGATAGTGTAGTTGCTGAACGAGTAGGTTTTATGTGGATGGCCTGTGTTCAATCCTTGGCACCCACTTCACCTATTCCCCCTTCCCTCCACCCCAAGCACAGCTGGGAGCCACCCCCAAGCACAGAGCCGGAGCTAGGAGTTGGCAACATGCTTTGCTGGGTATGGGCATCCTCCTCCCGCAAAAGATAATTTTAGAGACTGGAGATGTAGCTTTCCAGAACAATTGTTCTGTATGTATGAAACCCTGGGTACCATTCCCTGCAATGAAAAAATCTAATGAAAGTAAGAAAAAAATGCATATTTAAAATTGATCAGAAATTGCATTGTAATCTCTTAAATTTGGAAAATTGCTAGCTATTTGCTTAAACATATTAGGGGAACACTTCTCCCTCCACCCCCAAATTCACTTAGGCAATAATTTGAATAGATGTTTGCAGGCCATACTACATTTCCCGAATTTCTGTATATGTCTTATTTATTTCTTGGTTTTGGACCAACACTTATCATTGTCAGGGCTTACTCCTGGCAGAGTTCTGGGGACCATGGGTTGACTTTTTTTTTTTTTTCTTTGGGTCACACCCAGTGATGCACAGGGGCTATTCCTGGCTCTGCACTCAGGAATTACTCCTGGGGATGCTCAGGGGACCATATGGGATGCTGGTAATGGAACCCGGGTTGGCTGTGTGCAAGGCAAATAAATGCCCTACCCGTTGTGCTATCGCTCCAGCCCCCTGGGGACCATGTGTATGCAAGGCAAATACCTGAATACCTGTACTACCTTTCTAGTCCCTGTGTTGATAATTTCTTTAGTACATTTCTGTTGTTAGTTTCATAGTACATTTCTGTTGTTAGTTTCACTTTGTTGCTGGTGTCCAGAGGATCAAACTCATTTTTTCCTTCCTGTCTAGGTTCAGTATCTGTTCAGAGTGTTCTGCCGACTCCGTCCTGGTGTTTCTATCCTAGCTCTGCATGGCCGGCAGCAGCAAATGAGAAGAATGGAGGTTTATAATGAATTTGTCCGCAAGAGATCTGCAGTGCTTTTTGCTACTGATATTGCAGCCAGGGGACTAGGTAAGAAAACTTCTTAGGAGCAGATGGTCTGTAATCATGGAAAAATACAATTTGCTTATAAATGAGGAATGTTTCTGTGAATTCATATTTTGACTCAGATAATTTTTTTTTTATTACAACAACATAAACTTATTGATATCCTAAATCTCTGGTCGGTGAAAAAATCAATTCTATGCATTTGGTGATTATATCATAGAATCCTGAGGAGCCTGCAGAATGAAGGAATTGAAGATTTATAGATGTAAAAAATTCCTGTGACTTTGACACTGGAAAGTTGACGAATATTTTGAGTTTATTTAATAAGAAAAATTAATGAAGTTCATTTTTCTCCAGCCATTCTAAATTTTTTTCCTGGGGGATGTTAACTTTAGGTCGTGAGAAAGTAGTAAGTGGGCATTGCATTGATTATCAAGGGGGAAATTCCCTTCAGCCATTTCAATTTTTATTGAAAATACTTACTATGTTTAGATTTTGAAAAAGCCACTAATAGTGTGTGTGTGTATGTGTGTAAAACTGATGGCTTTGTATGTGTATAAGTGGAATATGGTAGTAATTGCGGGGGAAACTGGTAAAAAGGATGAGAATAAATTGGTAACTCGATTTATTCACCTAATTTTATCTTTTTAAATCTTGTAAATTTTGATTGTTCTTTTTGGGGGGTTTTTCGGGGGTGGTGTTGCACCTGGTGATACTCAGGGATTACTCCTGGATCTACAATCAGGAAGTACTCCTGGTGGTACTTGGGAATCATACCGCATGTTGAGGATTGAATCTGAGGGTCAGCTATGTGCAAAGCATGTGCCCTACCCATTGTACTGTTGTGCCAACTCAAACTTGCAGATTTTAAACATGGACAGAGGGTAAATCTGATGCACTTGGTACCCAACATGAGCAATGATATATCTCCTTTTTTTTCTTTTGCTTTTCAGCTCTTGTGAGTTCTGTGCATTCTTTCCCATGTGACTAGAGACTGTCGAATACAGTATATTTTTAAAGGTCTCTTGGTTTTTTTCTTCCTTTCAAAAAATAATTTTGGTCACCATGATTTACAATTTTCTAATACTGTTAATGATAGGATTTCACAAGTCAACATCCAAGTGTTCATTTTTCTCCACTGGGGTCTCAGAGCCCCCTCACATCGTACTGTCAGGATAAGCTCAGATCTGTAGATCAGTTCTTAGTTCTGGGCCTTTTGTTATTCCTCTACCATGCTTCTTTTTATCCCACAGATAAGCAAGGTCATTTTGTATCTGTTTTGTTTTGTAAATCCCCTTCTAGCTGACTTCACTCAGCGTGATACCTTCTAGTTCTATCCATGTAGCAGCAAGCTGCATGATTTTTTCTTTTTTCCTTTTTTCTTTTTTTTGATTTTTTCTTTTCTTGACTATTTTCTTAGCCCTACTCACCACCCTCTCAACCACCCACTATCTCCTAGCACTGTTTGACTTTGTAGTTTGAAACATTTTAATGTGCTTATGTCTACATCATATTCTGATTTTATCCCTCTAATTTTTGAACTCTGAATAGTCTAAATCAGTATAAACATTTAATTGCACATATATGCAATTATATATAATATATAGTATATGAATATATGTAGCATATTTATATATGTGAAGGAGAGAGGGAGAGAGATGTTAAACATTACATACATGTGGACATATGACTAAAGCTTCAGAATATTCAGTTCATCATTGTGCTAAAAGACAGATGTTCATTATTCAGGAACAGAAAAATTACGTTTATATGATATCTTTTGCATAAATATACTTACTTCTTTATGCTTTTTTTTGAATTAATAATTGCCTAATGTTCCGTGTAGCCAGTTGTAATTTTTCTCAAAGACCATGGCAGATGTCTCATTTCCAGATTCCTGCAGTTCCAACAGTTGTTCTTCTCGACCTCACTTGCAGCCTCTGTCACCATTTTTGTTATTTGGTCTTCCCTGTTTGAGACCTTTCTTAATGGTTTTTATGTGAACTTTTAAAATAACAGACACCAAAAACTTACTTGAAGAGATTTATAACTGATTGAGGTTTGTTGACTAATCACTGGACTGAAGACTAATGAAGAAATGGAGACTTCCATAGAAATAAGTACAGTATGGTGTGATTATTACTAAGGACAGGTAGAGAAACTTAATTTGACTAATTCAAATCGGAAATAGGAGTAGAAGGAAAAGTAAACATTCACTTAAACTTAGAGACCATTTTATTTATTTTCTTTAACCTTTGGGGTGCTGATAATCAAATCCAGGGTCTCACACATGCAGGGTATGCACTCTACCACTGAGTCTCATTCATGGTCCCAGAAAACAGTTTTGTAGTTCACTAGGAGGCCAGGAAAGTGTTTTTGTTGTTGTTGTTTTGATTGCTTAATGGAATATTTCATTATCTGTCTGACACAGAATGTTATGTCTCTTCAAAAATCTTCGTATTCAGGAGCTGGAGAGATAGCATAGTGGGTAGGGCATTTGCCTTGCATACTTCCGACCTGGGTTCAATCCCCAGCGTCCATTATGGTCCCCTTAACACAGAGTCAGGAGTAATCCCTGAGCATTGCAGGTATAGCGCCCAAACAAAAACAAAACAAAACAGACAAAAATCTTCATATTCAAAGACTGTCATTAATTTTTCAAGAAAGGTAATTGTTATCTCTTAGTTCACAAGATTTTATTTTAGTAGATGTTCTGATTATATCTTATCAGTTTGATAATGATAATCCTGGCAGCAATATTGTAAAAGAAGAAATATGTCAGGGCAGATTTTGGAATTGATTTTCTAACATGATCTTCCTTCTGAATAGATTTCCCTGCTGTGAATTGGGTTCTTCAGTTTGATTGTCCAGAGGATGCCAACACATACATTCATAGAGCAGGTAGAACTGCCAGGTAGGTGTGCTGACTCATTTCTCCACTTTTGGTGCTGAGTAAACAAAGTAGCATACTTCTGGAGCTATAGACAAACACAAATAAAAGGCACTCTTATAGGTTGATAAATCATTGAGACCAAGACTTAATGATTATTTAGTGCTGAGAAAAATCCATAAACATAAAACTTCATCTGTTCGCTTTTTAAAGAATTTAGCTGCTATGAAATTACATAATAGAGTTTCGGACATACAGTGTTCCAGCAGGGATCCTTAAACAGTGTCTACCTCACTCCACTAGTCTACCCTTCCTTGTACTTGCCTCCCACCCACCAGTCTATTTCTAGGAGAGGCACTTCAAAGAAATTTGTTTTTGCATAGTGATTTGCAATACTATTGTTTATAGGGTTTCTTACATAACACTTTACCCTTTCAACACCACCTCCTCCAAGTTGAATGCTTCCGTCCACCATAGATGTTATTCTGTCCTATTCCCCAGCACTCCCACAAGTGGCATGTTACCTACTGATTGCCAGTTGTCATGTTGTTGGTTTCCATAGCCTTTGGGCATTCATCATTTCACCAGTATGTCTCTTTATATCCTACACATGAGAGGGATCATTCTGTGTCAGTCTCTCTACCTCTGACTAACTTCACTCAGCATGATACTCTCCAGTTCCCTCCATGTAGCAGCAAATTTCATGACTTTGTCTTTTCTTATGACTAAGTAAAATTCCACTGTGTATATATATAGTTTATTTATCCAGTCATCTATTCTTGGACACTCGGGTTGTTTCCAGATTTTGCTTTTTGGGTCACACCCGGCGATGCACAGGGGTTACTCGTGACTCTGCACTCAGGAATTACCCCTCGTGGTGCTGGGGGGGGGGGCATATGGAATGCTCGGAATCGAACCCGAGTCAACTGCGTGCAAGGCGAACGTCCTACCCGCTCTGCAATTGCTCCAGTCTATTTCCAGATTTTGGCTATTGTGGGTAATGCTGCTAGAAACATGGGGGTGCCAATGTCTCTTCTCCATTTTGTTTTGTGCCCTTTGTATATATTCCAAGAAGTAGGGTTGCTGGATCAAATGGAAGCTCAAATTCCTAAATTTTTTAGGAGTGTCCATATTGTTTTTTTAGAAAAGGCTGGGCCTGTTGACATTTCCACAAGCATTGAATGAGAGTGCCTTTCTCCCTGCCTGCATCCGTGCCAGCGCTGGTGGTGGTGGTTCTTTTTGATGTGCACCAGTCTCTGTGACATGATGTTATTTCATTGTTGTTTTTATTTGCGTCTACCTCCTGATTAGTAATGCAGACCATTTTTTATATATCTTTAGGCCATTTGTGTTTGAGAAAGTTTTTGTTCATCTCTTCTCCCCATTTTTTGATAGGGTTGAATTCTTTTTCTTGTCAAGTTCTACCAGTGCCTTATATATCTCTGATACTAACCCCTTATTGGATAAATAATTCTTCCCATTCTAGGGGTTGATTTTGTATCCTGTTCATTATTTCCTTTGTGGTGCAGAAACTTCTTAATTTAATGCCCCATTTGTTTATCTTTGCTTCTACTTGCCTGGTCAGTGATGTTTCGTCCTTGGTGATGTCTTTAGCTTCAATGTCATGAAGCATGCTGCCTGTGGTTTCCTTTCTGTACCTTATGAATTCAGATCTTCAATCCATTTTGATTTGCCTTTTGCGCACGGTGTTAGAAAGAGGTGTGAGTTCATGCACCTGACAAGTTTTCCCAGCACCACTGCACTTGTTCAAGAGGTTTTCCTTGCTCCACTTCATATGCTTTCTTTATTGAAGGTTAACTGTTCATATACCTGAGGCTTTGTCTTAGCATATTCAACCCTATTCCGTTGATCTGAGTGTCTGTCTTTATTCCAGCACCATGCTTTTTTTAATTACTAAAACAATACTTAGTTTAATTCCTTAAAATAATAAAGATGAAAGAGATTCATCGTTCTTACTTTATAATGATTAAAAATTTGAAACGGGGATTCGGGGTGTGGTCCGGTGGTAGAGCGTATGTATGCCTTGTGTGTGCACAGTCCTGAGCTTGTCCTGGCACTGCATTCCCTACCCATGGGATGTAGCATCCAAGCACAATCAGAAGTAGCCCCCTCAACAATTAAAGAAAAATTGGAAACAACCTACATAGTAAAAATAGGGTTATGAATAATTATGATTAGCCACAGGGCAATTGTATTTTTGTCTTTACATTTTCTTTCTCATCAAAATTTGGGTGTTTATAATATGACTGTCAGCTAGACAGTTGTTTACAATTGAGACATTGATGAATGCGACATCAACTCGAGGTCTACTTGGACTAATTTTAGCCACTAACTTTGCTAATCAGTTCCCACTAATGTCAGCATCTTTAAACCCAGGATTTAAATCCTTATTCAAGCAAAGACCGGCATTGTAGAGCAGGCTTGGTTTTCCATTTACATTTAATTCCTGATAGCTCATGTATGAAAGCACGACAGTGTCCTCTCTCCCTGGTGATTTGTAGGAAGTCCCTTCGGCATTTAGTTCTTTTATGTTGCTTTATATTCATAGTTCTCTGATGTAGTTTTAAAGAAAACCTTGTACCTGCTGAATTTGTTGTTTCAGCTGAAGATGAAGAAGGGTTTCTCATATATTTCTGTAGTCTTACAAGAAGTGAAGCTTTCCTTTCCTACTTACTGGATATTTAAACAGTTTTTGATTTTCTCAGATTTAACCTTGGGCCTTAAATGTGGGCTATAATAAAAATGTATTTATTTTAATTAAATGCAGAACCAGCATGATCCGCATGACAGAAGAAATTACAATAGTGATTTGATAGTACCACCCATAGGGCGCAGCCCACTGAGGTCAGTCCCCAGCATACATTATGGTCCCCTGAGCCAGATCTTCCTCAGAAGTGATCCCTGGGGGTAGAGCCAGGAGTAACCCCAGAACACTATGTGTAGCTGCAAAACAAAAACAAACGCGGAATTTGGGGGTTGGAGGTATAATACAGCGCATAAGGTGCTTTCTTTGCACCTGACTGACCTGGTCTGATCCTGGTACCCTATGCCCAGCTTACAGTGATCCCTGGGCACAAAGCTAGGAGTATACCCTGAACACCTCTGTGTGTGGTCCAAAACCAAAAAATTTCTTTTTCTTTGAAAGGACTCTAAGGGTTTTTTGGTTTGTTTGTTTTTGTTTTTGGGTCTCTCACGTGAGGGTGCTCAGGGGCTATTCCAGACTCTGTGTTTGGGGAAAAGCTCCATGTGGCGCTCAGGAAACGTGGTGCTGGGTTTGAACCTGGATCTCTTGTGTGTGAAGCATGTACTCCCGCCTGTTAAGCTATCTCTCTGGGCCCCAAAGTAAGTTTTTTTTAAAATCTTTTTCTTTTTCAATTACAGTTTGAGCATAAGAACTGGGTTCTGTTGGTACTATGTATGCTCCCATTGTGTATTCAAACCTTAGAAACTGATTTCTGGTGAGATCTGAGCAAATAGGACATGGATAGAATGAGCAACTACATTGCTCATTGGAGAGAGAGTACAGTGGATAGGGTGCTTGCCCTGCATGGGTCCCACCTGGGTTTGATCACCAATATCCCGTGTGGTCCCCCAGGCACCGCCAGGAGTAACCCCTGAGCATCGCTGACCCAAAAAACAAACAAAAATTTTTGTAGCAACTGTGTTTCACACTTATAAAAAGATACATGCACACCTTCATGCCAGATACATGTTCAGATCATTTTTTATATAAAGTGGGATCTTCACAGATACCACTGATGGCCGGAGGCATGAATGTTGCCCACTCTTTGCTTCTCTTCAGTAACTGGATAGAATGTGTGAATTGGCACCTACATTTGTGTGCACATTAGCATTTTTTAACCCTATTGGCTGCTGGATTGATAAGGTTGGAAATGGTCCAACCTTTTGACCAAGATTGAATGGTCTTTCATTAGCAAACTGGACCAGGGCCAGAGAGATTTTGGACATGCCAGTAGTATTGATATGTTAGTTTCTTTATAGAATATATGTACCAGTTTTAAAAATCATTCTTCCTGAATGGAGATAATCGGACATCTCACTGCATTGGGAATAGGTCCATGATGGCGGAATACTTCAGCGTTCTTAGATGAGTTGTTAGAATTTTCATGTAGTTGAACATGTCCTGGTGAATATTAAATTGTTCTTGGTAACTGTGGAGATGAAGAGAGGTAGATTTATATCACAACTGATTGTGTTTGAAGAGCACGAACTAATTTGAAAAACCATTATATTGCAACTTGTAATGCGGTCATTAATTTTCAAAGTACAAGTCTGATTTTCCCTTCATCATCAACTAAAAACATTTTGAATCGACAGTTTTAAATGTATAGTCAGTAGAAAGGTTTAGGATTTATACTGCTTATTTTCTTTGGCAGTTTAATAAAAAAAAATCACCAAAATGCAATTTAAAAGTTGCCATTAATGGGCTTAGAGATAATTAGAAAGTTTTGTGGGCCATGAGATGGATAATTGAATTGAATAAAGACTAAATTAAATTTAAAGCTAATTAAAACCTTGTGTGTATGCTGTAATTAAAGCCAGGTTGCCAGATAGTGTTTGCATTTGAAACTGAACTATAACACATGAATATAGAGAAATTAATTCAGTGCAAAATAGTGAAGATTTGGGAAACTTAGTTTGATTTTTCCTTCTGTTTTAGCTACATAAAAATAAAGGATAATGTAGATACTGGTTGATTTGAATGTAAAATTTGCTGTTTTAATTTATTCACCTGTTTAAAATACTCGCCTTTTTAAAATGTTCACCTGTTTCAGTAGTTGAAGTTGCCTTTGATTTTCTTTAGCCTTCTATGTCCTGTTTTACAAAATTTCTAGAGACAAGTGGGCTAGGGAAGATGTGTGTGTGTGTGTGTGTGTGTGTGTGTGTGTGTGTGTTGAGTGATGGGTAGGCATACACATACACTGTTGTTTCTCAAAAGTAATAGTAAAAATTCCAGCAGTATTCCAACGCAGCTTTGTTTG